TAATAATAATAATAAATAGAATTTGTATAGCGCATATCCCCGCCCAGCAGCAAGCTGTGTGTGCCCTACAACCTGCATTATTCCCCTATCAGACTACAGAACATTCGGAATCATTCACTGCTTCCCGGGAAGCATACAGTGCGAGCAGCTGGTTGTATCTTGGGTACCCATTGTCAGGTCGTTTAATGGCGACTCAGTGCACATTACAAAAAGACCCCTCTCTTGTTGGGCCAAATTTGACCTTGGAGTTAAATAATGTTTAAAGACAAAAAAAAGCAACAACCCCCCCAAAAAACAAACACAAAAAAAACAAACAAACAAACAAACAACCAAACTAAACCAGAACATGGAAAACGAGACAAAGTAGCAAGCTGCTAACAGTAACAAAGCGGACATTTTCTCCTGGAACAAGCGAAATGCGTAGTAGAATCAGGGCAGAGACACCCACAGAAACGACAAGCTGCAGGCAAGGAGTCCTTTGTACTTTGTCATCAGCAGAGCACCCGACTCCGGTGAAATGCCTGCCAAACGTTGACACGGACAGTTTCTGCCGCCTGCGTGTCCCTTCAGGGCCAAGCGATGGCAGCTTGTATTATGCTAGGATTACTAGAAGCACCAGTTGGTCATTTCAGCACCCAGACCTTGAACCATGACAACAGTACTGGTGGAAAAGTCACCAGCTCAGCGTGGTCGTCTCACACACACTGTTCTTCCCTCTCGAACCTGGAGACCACAGCACAAGCTCATCACCACACACACACACACACACAGACACACACACACACACACACTGACAACAGCACACACACAAACACACACTGACAACAGCACACACACAAACACACACTGACAACAGCACACACACAAACACACTGACTTCTTCTTCTTCCTCATTCTCGATGACAGCAGCTAGACAGTCAGCCCGATGTCGCGCACAAACTGTGCAGTTCGCTTCAAGCACACACACAAACACACACTGACAAAGCCCCCATAAATAGCACGACATCAAGGATGAGAAATGGCTCACTTGCCTCCCATTTTGACAGCCACAGGTAAACAAAGCAAATGCCAAAGACTTGGATCAAATCAAATTTCTCCACACAACACGCAGCGGCACCCAGCAAGGGCCGGCCATACACTTCGTACAATGCCAACAAAATATATCCTAACAAATCACAAGGAATCAAAAAGCACAAAAATAGTTCCAAAATGCCATTTCAATTTGTAGACAAGAACCAATAGCAAAAAAGCCAGATAAAAGCAATGAAGTAAAAGCACAAAAACCCATAGCAGAGTCTGGTGGGAGCACAGCAAGCAAAGGTCACATCTCATGTGGAGCAAAGAAATTCCCCCAAACCCACGGGATCATCACAGCAAAGGAGAAGCAAGCAGAGTTGTTCCGTTCCCTACAAACAGTGCACTTGTTCCGTTCCCTACAAACAGTGCACTTGTTCCGTTCCCTACAAACAGTGCACTTGTTCCGTTGCCTACAAACAGTGCACTTGTTCCGTTCCCTACAAACAGTGCACTTGT